GAAGAGGAGAAGCCAAGAAAAGCAACAGAAAAATGCTAATTCTTCAGAATAAGGTGGATTCATAGCATTCTGAACTTTGAATTAAAATAATGGAATGGGGGGATTTAAAACACAATATTTTAATGAATTTTTGTGTTTCAATATTAGAATACTAAATTTGAAGTATTCTGCTCTGTACAAATACCTAGATAACAGCTGTTCAAATAGAGTGATGAGAGGAACAACGACAAGGTGGGGAACACAGCCAACCTAATCCATCTAAATCAGCTACTCCTAAAACCATAAAAGACAAACCGTTAAGCTATCGTCCCTGCTGCAAAATCTGCTAAGGCAATCTATCAGAAAACACTCTGAAATGCTATGCAAACTAAGTGGGATTACTACTTAAAGAGGTATAGGACTTCTTATGGAGTGCCTAAGTTGGTGTATTTGGGGACTGAACATGACAGTTCTGGGATTGTACAATATTTATTATGGGATATTTAGGGGAAGGACCAAAGGTGGGGAAAGGTGGATGGGAGATGAACAAGAATGGGAAAACAGATAGAGAGGGCAGGTCGCATGTAAGGAGGCTGCTGGCCAGTACACTTTGGCCAACCTTGCACCCGATCACCAGAGTCTGTCCTATCTTCCTCTTAAGCTCTATTTTCAGTTATTTTTGTGTGCAAGTGTGCTCTCTATGTGGGGGAAGGGAATCCACTAGCAAACTTCTAGCAGTACCAGCTCGCAAGAGGATGAGGTCTGAGAGCTACATGCTCCAGACTGAGGGATTGGAAGCAAGACAGTGGAGAGACCAAAAATCAGCGAGACTTGTGAAGGGTGTTTTCCTTGAGCAGTGAACCACCGAAATAGGATAGGGCTATTCGTGCTGTCTGTGTTTATGCAGCTGCCTGTAAAGGTACTGTCCTCCTCTCTCTGTTAGCCTGTGTGTGGCTGGCTGTGTCTGTACAGAGTATGTGTGTGTGCCTATTTTGGGATTCACTCTCAGTCTCTACTACTCAGATTTTATGTGCATATCATCTACTGTTGCATTAAGACTGATTTATAGGCTGGCCCTCACAGTTCTTTAACTCAGTGAAAATTGAGAGGACTTGACTTCCTTGGCTTTCTAAGAGCAGACTTTCTGCCTGTTATCAGTGATTGAAAATTGAATCTTTGCCTAGATGCCTTGGGTGTGAAGGAAGAATCCTGTGTCTCCTATTCCCAGAAGGTTTTCCAGTAGTTTCAGCATGCAATTTCCAAGAGTTCAAACCTCATATACCTTGGGTGTCCAAGGTGTCCAATCTACCTTTCTGGGGAGCTGATTGTTGAAACAGAGGAATAGTAAGGGTTCCAAAACAGAAACAAAGTCATTCTACCTCAAATAGTAAGAGAGTAGCAAAATAGTAAAAATCCTATACTAAGGGGTCAAACTGGTATTGAAATTAAATATTGCTACCCTAGATTTCACTCAGGATGGGAGAGGACAGGAGATAACAGCATCCCAGAGAGATACATACAAGTGTCTGATAAAATATGAAATACAACTTTTTTATATACTGAGTACTTTGTAGATACACACACATTTTCAACAAAAACTTTCATAACATAAAAATAAAAACTTTCAGTATTCATAAACATTTCCTTGATCAGAACTCTGAAAGCAGTGTTTATGATTCTGAGGTCGAACAGTCTTCATTTTCAGTGTATGCTGTAAGCCTTTTACCAGCTGTCTGACCAAACAGCCATCCAAAGGAAGAGCTGTTTTTACAGATGACTTAAAAGCAGCTCAGTCCAAAAGAATGAAATAAATATTTTCATTTAAAATATAAGGTCTTGTTAGAATAAGAGGGGGTTTTTTTGGAAGAAGTTAAATTAAGCTCTTTATTTCGTTCTTGTGGAAACAAAAAGTAAGTTCCAATTTGTTGACCTGAAACATTTTTTCAATGCTGATATTCATCTGACATTTGCCTGGGCTGCTGTTTTGCCTCTTAATAGCTGTAGTTCTGGGTCTCTTTTCTCTCTTTCTCTCCTGCTGGTATTCATAGCCATGAGAAGACACTTATCTACAGACTGGGAAGGACTTAAATTCCACTATATGCTGATGTATATTATTACTGAGCTATAATCATGTACCACGAGAGAGGGAAACCACAGAACACATTTAAGATGCCACCATGAGGAAACTGGGAGTATAAGGACCAAGAATTACAACCAACACAAAGATCTATTCATAAGCTTCATATCTTAATGTTGACAGCAAATAAATCACTGTAGACAGACAAGCCTAAGCATAACATTGTAAAGTTCAATGTCAGCATTGCTAATTGAGAGTATTCAGAACTCTTCATCTTAGAAGAATGTTCAACACACAGAATTTTTGTTTTAATTTAAAGCAAAAGCTAACATCCAAATTTCAGAACTTCCACCTGGGAAGAAAACACATATTTCTATCAGCTTTATTACCACAACATAATACACAGAAAAACATGGCTCTACTGCATTTTGCATATACTGATTTGTTCGCAGTTTAAGTAGGCAGATTTCCTTTTTTTTATTTTGCTTTTACTGAGTGAATTCAGACCTGAGAAAATGCAACACCTGTTGTTTTTCTATCTGATGTTGTGTAATGCTCTCGGAACATCTTTACACTTCTATAAATTCTGCTATAATTATTCTACCATCTGGCCTATATTTTGGATTTCTCCCCGTCCCCATTAAATGTTTGTAACAAAGCAGTTGCTTTTATTGTTTTCTGCACTGGCAGCAAACATCTTGAGAAGGCAGCCTTTAACAAATAACCTAAGTATAGACTCACTGCATCCTTAGTAGGTGCAATCTTTCAGTACAACTTTGATGTTTCAATGTCTCCTATTTTCCTCTTGAAAAATACCTAAATCAAACCTGTCTCAAATGGTGAAGGTAGAAGTCAGTATCTTACAGTGAATGAAACAGCTGGAGGAATAAGATGAAACAGGTGGAGGTATAAGTAAATATGAAAAAAAAACATGATATGGAGTTGATCATATAAAACTAAACCAATCCAAAATATGACCTTTATTGAAAGATAAATCTGAAGATAATTTTCAGAGTTACGAGAAAATCTTTATTGAAGCCTTTATTGAATTTCTGAATACTAAATATATAATTAACTAATGATAAACTACATTTATAAAATCAATAATGAAAAGTCACAAAAAAGGAAAGTTAATTAAAAATTATCAAGACTAATCAAAATCATGGTGCAATATGCAAAAACGTTAATTGGAATAACATTTAAGGAAAAAGATGATTCAACTGAAATGCATAATTAGAAATAATCAACATTTTCTAGTAAAATAGATACAAAAATAAAAACATAGAAATCGCATTTCAGATGTGATCTGACTAGAAGCTTGAGAAGCAAAACAGACTGATAATGTATTATAAAGTGCCTTAATAATCTGTCCCTCTCCTACAGTAAATAAGTGTTTAAAATTGTAAATGTTTTCTTCATAATAACTTTACATAAAAATGAGTAATTCAAATGTACAATATTGTCTGCAGTTTGAACAATGAAAAAAGAAGATTACTATCATGGTAATATAATGCAGCACATTTGTCAATAGTTGACTGGAATAATATATGGAAATAAAAGCTTTTTAAATATGCTTGGTTGAAAATCATCTGTTACTGTTAACACTAATTTCATCCTGTTACACTCTGCTACATTACCTCCACTTTGTATGGCAGGTGTACTCCACACAGAAGCTTGAACTCTAATCTCAGGCTTCCATTTAAAAAAATTCATATAAGTAAGGAAAATCGCATGCAGTTTGGTCACAACCAAATAAAGGTATAAGTCACAAACTGCAAGGTACTCTTGAAGATTATGAACACTGCTGACTCAGCCACAAGTGATGCTTTTTTAATAATAATGACTATAATAGTCAGTCAGAAGGGACTAAGTTCAACTCTAGTTATATGACCAATATAACATTTGAACATGCATTATCACTTGTTGCTATATATATTTACACTTTATTGTTTAGAATTTGAGCCTTTCTGTGAAGGAAAGGATAAAGAAAAATTAAGCATTAGCCAAAAGAAATGGTTTGCATAACAAGAATCTTATGAATACTTTGGAAACTTCCATTTGATAGTTTCTTTAGAAAAAGTAATGCCTAGAAATCATGTTCCCCTCAAATCTTCCTTCTGAATCTCACAGTCAATGTTAATGTTCACAGAAATCTTCATCATATCCCACTGGACAAGACTGTGTTAATCAAGTTCAAAACCAGCAGCTTTCTATTTCTTGCCTGGAGGTACTAAAAGATCTGTCCCTCCTAAAGGAACCTTTCTCCCTGGAACATTCTCGCAGTTTCCTTATGGATACTAAGTATCCAACATGATGAAATCTGTTTCCTTAAATACTAATTAATTTACATAAATGACTTTTTTATTTGTCTGCCAATTATCTTAAATATACCTCTTCTGTTAATCAAAGTATAGCTAGATTTACCTTAACTAAAAATTTTCTTCTTCACTGTTACACTGCAGATTGACAGAGCTGTTGTCAGACTCTGCATCTTCTGTTATAGCCCCTTGTAAACCTGGAGAATGCAGATGTTTTCTTTATTTGCTTCAAAGACTAGTCTTCTATTAATTTCTACATTACCTCTATTAGAATTGCTTCACTTTATCCCTTTATACGTGTCTCTCTACCAGACTGAATAGTGTGTCTTGACTTAGATGTAAAGATTCATCTGAGTAAATAAATCTGTCTTTTCCCCCACAGTTCATCAGAAAGACTGACTAAAATCTAAGACGTAAACATTAACTGTATTTAAAGTTACTGACTTCAAATTGCTCAGTCTGCTGTCTTCACATTTCTCATCTATCTTTAAATTTTTATATGCCTTTTCATACATCTAAAACTCTTTGGGACTTGAGTTTGGAAAGGCCTACTGTAGTGCAATTCACATAATATACTGTGTCACTGAACACCAGCATACTGAGGTAGAATTACTCTTCAAAATTACCTGTATAGCAAGCGTTCGAGCTACAAGACTTCTAAGATATTGTAAAGGATCTTCTGGACCTTCCCACTTGGTTTGCCATTTGAGGGGACACTGAAATAAAATATATTTACTGAAAGTATCCATTTCAAAACCATCATCATTACATTTTAAGCTAGCAATTTCAATGAAAGTAAATAATCTGGAGATCAAATATACCTACAAAGAAAAAAGGCAATACAAGTATTATAATGATCAAAGCATACAACCACTAATAGGAAGGTCATATTCCTGCTAATTCTTTATGTGGCCCAGAGAGATATAGTGCTGATGGAGAACTTACAAGAACCTCTGCTATTCAGTAAGGAAACTTCAGTAGGTTCCACGAACACTTCAAAAAGGCCTAAGCTGATTCTTTCTTGTAAAACCACAATGCCATCTTTCAACTGCAGCCACAGGTTCCCACTCCTTTGCTGCTGCCTCCTCAGACTTGAACATGCAGTTGTGTGGCTCTGTGGTGAAGTGAATCTGGTACAATTCCTCTGCATGATTATTTTCTCATGATCTTAAAGTGTTTGTAGAACAACACCTGAGAATAAAATTCTGCAAGACCTCCCCATACAAATTTCTCATTGACTTAAAAAAGAAAGGCTTAAAAGATTCTCTGTTAAGGTTTCCTCCTTATAAAATAAGGATAAAAACATTAATTGTACCTACTCCACAGGAATCTGTAAAGCACAATGAAACCGAGACTGCAAGATTCTCCTACTTCAGTAAAAGAGAATTGATGTAAATCATTACCTGGGGAATATAGCACAATACTGAAGATGCTGAGCAGAATAAACAGTTTATACCGTTTAACATTTACAGTTGCATTTTCAAGGAGGTTCACAATCCAATAGCATATGTGCTGAACAGATTTTCAAAATCTAATCACAGAAGTTTGTAAGAAAAATTATCTTTCAAAGTAAATACTCCATACATAACTTCTATACATAAAAACCAAAAAGTATCTGGATCTGTGGACACTAATTAATGATGAATTGAATAAACTAGAATACATACAAGACAATTAATAAAGCAAAGTTAACTGCATGCTTTTTTGCATAATTATGATTTTTTTAAAACTTTTTGTATTTGAAACTATTATCCTTGCATTTTTGCAGACTCTTTTGCTAGATATGCATTTACAGGCAGCTCAGCAATCTATCATTTAGAAGGCATTCACCTAATGTTATCATCGACGCATTACGCATTCCACCTGGATTGCTTCAGGGCATAAGCAATCTGGGAGGTTCCTGGTTCCTGTCAATGATAACTTCCTTCTCCAAGTGGTAGAGGAGCCAACGAGGAGAGGTGCTACGCTGGATCTTGTTCTCACCAACAAGGAGGGGCTGGTGGGGAGCATGAAGCTCAAGGGCAGCCTGGGCTGCAGTGACCACGAAATGGTGGCGTTCAAGATTCTCAGGGCACCGAGGAGGGCGCACAGCAAGCTCATTACCCTGGCCTTGAGGAGAGCAGACTTTGGTCTCTTCAGGGAGCTGCTTGGTAGAGTGCCATGGGACAAAGCCCTGGAGGGAAGAGGGGCCCAAGAAAGCTGGGTAATATTCAAGGATCACCTCGTCTAAGCTCAGGAGCCATGCATCCCAACAAAGGGGAAGTCAAGCAAAAAGGCCACGAGGCCTGCATGGATGAACAAGGAGCTCCTGGACAAACTCAAACACAAAAAGGAAGCCTACAGAGGGCGGAAGCAAGGACAGGTAGCCTGGGAGGAATACAGAGAAATTGTCCGAGCAGCCAGGGATCAGGTTAGGAAAGCTAAAGCCCTGATAGAATTAAATCTGGCCAGGGACGTCAAGGG